TTTGAATATTACATGTTAATAACTTGATTGGAATTATAACCTTGAGTTGACAGTTTGATACTTTGAAAATTTTGAGCCAGCCCTACCCCCAAGGGCTGTAGGGTGGGGCTCAAGGGAGTCAGTGTGCTAAAATTTCTTCATTTTCCTTGTTTAGAATCAGAGGTGCTAGTTTCAAATCCTTTTTAGTCTGAAATCTGTATGCTTGATATTGAATAAGGTGGTTTTATTGTTTTTTGTCACTTTGAATAATATTTCTGTTCATGTTAAAAACGAAATCAACTCTCTGTATAAATATATCAGGTGACCGTTAAGGCCCATGGGCCTCTTGTTAATAATCAACATTCACTTGACATGTTCACTTAAATTTCATTGTTGTTTACAATGTTCTGAACAATGTTAGTATTGTCATGGTAACAAATCCCTGCCCAGTATAATTTTAATACATTGTATACTCATATACAAATAACTATACTTGATGGACTCTATTAATACCCCACATACCTACATATGATGGACTCTATTAATCATTTCAAGTAATCACCACAAGACCTTATGTATAGTGGACAATCAAGTACTTGTGTATTCATATGATTACCTTCCATACACAATTCTGATCTCGGAAAATACACACAAAATGTTATATTAGGCAGAGAAGGGCCCACATATATCACCTCCCCACCCTTACTACCTTTCCCACTCCCCTGTTTTATCTCCACCCCCATTGTCACGATAACCCCATTCCACATGTACAGTTTCCCATTCTATCTTTGTAAGAAAAGTCCCCCACCCAATCTTCCCCATCATCCATCTACCCACCGACGATGCCATGCAACTATATAGCCTCTGACATTGTAAGCCATGTTTACCATGATACAAAATATGTTTTTCGCTCCCCTGCCCAAAGGGCTAAGTGAGCTTATGCCATGATGCAGCATTCGTATATTGTCCGTCCTCAACATTTTCTTTTAAAGCCTTTAGTTCTGGCTGAATTTCACACGGATCATCCCTGGGTCAAAGGAATTCATTTTTTTGTAAATGAAAGATGAAATAGGAGAAAGATTCGCAATTGGTCCAATTCCTGAACTATCCGTACTATGATCAGCTGCCATTCTTTTGATGCATGTGAATAAGAAAATACACTTGGGATTGAATTTTTTGAAGATTTAAGAAAAAAAATGAATTTAAGCTTAAATTACCCATTCACATTTTGATGATGGGTTTATTGAATATGACCAGATATAGTTGTTAATCATTGTGACCATTGTTGTAATTCGGTGTGTTGAGTATAGTCAGACTAAAATATCCTGCATCTTTGATACTCCTGGAGTTACGCTCACTTGCAGTCTCTGCACCCCTGGAATATGTCAGCAAAATTGAAGGCATGCAGCTGGCTATTGGTCTTGGGTAAAAAGAACCTCGCCAATCACTAGGCTGATACCTGTTCATGAAAAGATCAAACTAGTCCTCTTTGTTTCATCCAAAAGCTGCATGTGGCACAAACTGAACCTTCACTTTTGTTATGGAATATTCCAGGGGTGCAGAGAGTATATGTAAGCGTAACCCCTGGAGTATCGAGGATGAATGACCTGTCACATTGCCTTTAAGTGGAATATTCAGTGTTCACTTTGATTGTTGTGTTGTGATTCTGTGTTTAACGTTAATTCATATTGGCTAATTGCACTCGTTTTCAGGTATGTCTACCTGTTCAGTGTTCAGTATATACGGCATACACATCCTGGTATGTCACAGCTGTTTCACCTGTACCTTTTGATTACGTTTGTGGAACGATAGATAGGTATATACTCCCCACACAAATATAGACTTCACCTGTAATCAATATGATATTAAGTCTTAACACGACTGGTCATTGTAGTCCTATATGATAACATATACTTGTACCGAATAGTAAATGATATGTTTAACTGTTCATTATTAGTAGGGAATTTTTACGAAACAAGCTTTAGTTAGATTCCCGAGATGGAAATGGACATGAGGTTGAGATTGTCTTTATCATAACTGTGTATGATAATATAAAATTAAGTATCGTGAGTAGATGACGTCATCTTGTTTTTTCATGTGATTCCTTGGGTGTTAGTACACAGGTTACACATCGGACGTGTATATGATGGTGTTATTTTACACTATAGGTTGATCAATACAACTTTCAGTTCTAATTCTTAACCAAATAACTTTGATGGTTGTACACCATTTAGTAGATTGCCCTATAGAGCTGGTATAAGCCACACTTTGGCGCTTTACAAAGCAGATATAAATAGTTCATACTCTTCATTAGTTTAATATGAAGACTTCGATGGAGCTGCCATATCAGACGCTAACCACTGGTTCTAAGCTACCTTGCTACTATCTCTATTTGTTCATGTCTCTGCGTGCTGGAGGTGTAATGATATTCTGTTTAGTGGTTTGAACAAAACCTATGATTCATCATACTCTTTGAACTGAATGGCAGAAAGCTTCTTGAAAAGTTTTAGGAAACAGTAATACTATTCCTCGAAACACTGGTATTAGATTTGTAGGTTTCATTATACCGGTCTCGGGTTCATTTTCGTAGTGTAAGCAGTAAAATTTTACGTCATGTATACATATCCCCTCATGACATTTATTCATATATAATGTAAGGCAATGTTGGAATCAGGGGGAGCTAATGTTCAAATATTTTTTGGACATATAAATGACCTTGACAAAAGATAAGGTCATTGTTAAGTTGATATGTGTTACTTAAAGGTTATTATACGATCTATCATTCTAAGACCTCCATATCATCACATGGGCAAAAGTTATCGGTGCAGGTTGGAGAGGTTACTGTTTATCAACTCCGGCACTGATATAAGAGTAGAAACAAAACTTGTTTTAAAGGTTATGCAAAAATTTTAAAGGTTGAACCAAAATGGTAACGGGTTGTTTCGCCCCAAATCCCGTTCGCCCCAGGTTGTTTCGCCCTAAACAAATATTTTTTTCTTTAAGTCATAAATATCATGTTAAAAGTTGAAAAAAATCTTTCTCTTGAATCTAGATATAATTACGTGCCGGAAGGTGAAGAACGAACCTGTATATTCATCACCGAATCCTACAACGGACATACTAATATCCGGAATATACTGTATATTATCGTTTTCATTTCTTTACCTTAATTAAGTAATGTTGTTCTTTATAAAATGCACCTGTATATATTTTAACGTTAAAAATATTTAAAACATGATATAAACAATTAAAAAGCACCCTGTCACGTCAGCCATTTTATATAAAACAAATTTCTCTTAGTACATAGATACGTATACGAAATGGACATAGATTAGGTACAAATTGCGTATAAGAATGAAAAGAAATTAATACTTTAATTATATATATCTATAATATATAGATAAGATATGGA